TAAATCAAAGTCTAATGGCTTGCATGTCTTAACTAAGCTAGGGTTCAAGATGACTTTAACAAAGCCATGAGAGGTCAATAGAGAGAATTTCCTTTGGAATAGGAAAAGATGAGGCAACTGGATGAGAACTAACAAGTTCCGTCACTTGGGGAAGTAACTTAACAAAGCTAAATAAGCATTCATTCAAAGATGACGAACATATAAAAAGGGCATGGTAACAACCAAGGAAGAGATGCAAGTATGACAATCATCAAGCAAATATTACAATCAAGCAAATGGTTACAACCATATAATGCACAAAGATATCACAATATCTAGAAGGGGAACATGGTGGAGGTTCTTATAAGACTTAGCATTAAAGGTAAAAACCACTTGAAGCATCTTAACAAAGATGAAGAGAAATGAGGTAACAACCATCAAGACAAACAACAAGCATGTAACTCAAACAAGTTTAAAGAAAGCAAGTAACAACTTGAGGAAATCATGTCATATAGTTAAAATAATCTAAAATGTAACAACATAAGATCAATAATCATGCATTTATAACAATCAAATTCAAGCAAACAAGAAGTGTCACAACTATTTAAGTAAGAAGTCTAAAGTTTTACATGAGGAATAATACAAGTTCAAAGATAACTTTCAAAGCAAGGCTCAATCCTAAGGATGTTATGGTTCTAACAAGACATCACAACAAGTAATGTAAGGATATTAGATCATGTTCAATAGGTTACAACATCAAGGAACACACAAGTATAAACATGAACAAGTAGAAATCAAGCACTACGCCAAAATTGATTTTTTGTATCGCCTACTTTAATAACGCTTTTGAAATAAGCGCTATTAAAAAAGTGACAAACATATTTATAATAGCGCTTTATAGTAAAGCGCTATTAAAGAGTACAGAGAATATGATTTTAATAGCACTTTGTAAAAAAACGCTATTATAGATATTCACTAAGATAGCGCTTTTCTAAAAAGCGCTATTAAAATGTTGTATTACAATAGCAGTTTTATAAAAGCGCTATTGTTAAAAGCACTACGATAGCGCTTTTTATAAATCGCTATTAAAATATGTAACTACAATAGCGCTTTCTATGGAACCGCTATCGTTTCTGTAATTGTGTTTTAAGATAGCGCTTTTTTAAAAAGCGCTATTAAAATATTCCACTAAATTAAATTAATTAAAATATGAAAACCTGGCCCAAATGTTTTTTCGTTTTCTCCCACGCAAAATTCATCAGCTCACCACCGCAAAATTCATCAGCTCACCCACTCAAAATTCTTTCTCCCACGCAAAATTCATCAGCTCACCACCGTCATCCTTCTTCGTCGAAAGGAGCCGCCGTCATCAGCTCACCACCGTCATCCTTCTCCGTCGAAAGGAGCCGCCGTCATCAGCTCACCACCGTCACCCTTCTCTTCATTGATATCCGGTAATCTTTCTTTTTCTCAGATTATTGCTTTGTGTTAAATTGTAAAATTAGGGATTTGAATGCTTTGTGGTGTAATTATGACCGGTAAAATTAGGGATTTGAATGCTTTGTGTTGTAATTTGTGTTAGTAATTTGAATGTTTTACGCCATGGCTTTCTCTTCAAACCCCAATCCCCAACAACACCAACGAATCGCTGTTGGAAGTTTCATCGAAGAATACACTAACCGTGTCGATATCCTCTCTTTCAAACCCGATACTCTCTCCATTAAACCTCAACCTTCACTTTCATTCGATCACCCTTATCCACCTACCAAACTCATGTTCCACCCCGCAACCCATTCACCCCTTCAGAAAACATCCTCCGACCTCCTCGCTACCTCCGGCGACTATCTCCGCCTCTGGGAAGTTCGTGAGAATTCCGTCGAGGCTCTTTCACTTTTTAACAACAGCAAAACCAACGAGTTTTGTGCTCCGTTAACCTCCTTCGACTGGAACGAAATTGAGCCGAAACGCATCGGAACTTCGAGTATAGACACGACTTGTACTATCTGGGACATTGAAAGAGGGGTTGTAGAAACTCAGCTTATTGCACATGATAAAGAAGTTTACGATATAGCTTGGGGGGAATCGAGAGTTTTCGCTTCTGTTTCTACTGATGGGTCTGTTAGGATCTTTGATCTAAGAGACAAAGAGCATTCTGTTAGGATCTTCTGGCTATGAAATTAATCAGCTTCAGTGGTCTGCTGCTCAGCCGGATTGGATTGCAATTGCTTTTGCAAACAAGATGCAGCTTTTGAGGGTTTGAATTTAGTTAAACTCGTCCAGTTTACAGGGATTTGGTGCATCTTCAGTCTACTCACCCTTACTCATCCATTTTGAATGGAAATGGTGTAAATTAGTGTGGTATATTTTTCTTTTTGAGGTTACCCCTCCCATTCGAGGGAAGCTAAAGTAATTTTTTCGCGTCACAAAAGATTGTACCCAACCAAGGGCTAAGCTTATGTCCATGCCTCCGAGTTTGAGTTCGATTCGAGATGGACGTCTCATGGGATCCACTGCCTACGCTCTTGGAGTGACTAGCTCCGAAGAGGAAGACGCGTCAGCTGCGACATAATGTGCGTTATATCAATGCTAGGATTTCGGGATCGCGAGAAGGTGGGAAGAATTTCAAACGACGTGCTCCCACTGATCATAGCAGCTAACATGGCAAGCCACACCATATTTAGTCTTCTTGTAGATGATAGAAGTTCCAGTAATGTCATTTACATCAATACACTCATGAAGCTGTGGTTCAGTCAATAAGATCTATATACATGCGATGATGGAAATATATTCGCATTCAATAGACCCATAGCTCACCCTTCTAGAGTAGTGAAACTATCGTTATCTCTTGGAATAGGAGAAGATGAAAGCAAGGTAACTATTCATTTATTGATATTTTTGTGTAAAAGTGATTTCAACAGAATTATATAGAGATCTTTCATAGCGTAAAATCATAGTGATATCAGGAAGCCAATTATCCTCGATATCGACTTGAAGACAACAAGGCTTATTCATGATATCACATTTAGAAACCTCATCGTTATCGCATCAATGTCGGAAGAGGCTCTAGGATGGTTGACCTTTATGTATGTGAAGATGAGATAAGGTAGAAATAAGAAACATAAGTATTCTTAATATGATAAGAAGCATGTTGAAGCAGAAAAACCTATCACATGAGCTTTGGGGTAAAGTTGTATACACTGTTGTTTAAATCTTGAACATATGTCCTAAAAATAGGTTGATGAACAAAGCTCCTATGGAAGCTTGGTTAGGAAGTAATCCTAAAGTAAACCACTTGAAGATCTTTGGTTCTTTGTGCTACAAGCACATTCCTGATGCCAAAAGAAAGAAGCTAGAGAAGAAGAGCAAACCTATGATCCTTGAAGGCTACCATAATACAAGAGACTATATAGTGTTTGATATTGATGCAAAGTAATTTACCATCAACATATGTATAATAGTTTTGGAATATTAAGCCTTGATTTGGAATACCAAACACAAGGACACTGTCAACATTTATGTGCATGTTCATTCTGAAACTTTTAACGTAGAAGAGGTTGGCTCTGAGGATAAACCAGAGATTGAGGATGCAAATGACAAAGAATCTGCACCAGCATAAACCAGGCCACAAAGAGAAAGAAAACTTACTAGGAGGCTAGATGATTATGAGCTAGTTCTTGATAATGAAGTAGCAACTGATGGAGAAACGATGCATCTTGCAATTTTTATTCTTACAAATATTTCTCAACTACTTGCAATTTTTATTCTTACAAATATTTACCAAACTCGTAAGTCTACGAAATCTAAGAAAAGTTTTGCTGATTCCAACAAAACTATTGTTTTTCAGTTGTGATTGAGGAGTTTTGTTGCAGTTTTTTTGTTTTTGTTTTGTTTTGTTCTAGTCTGGATTTTGTTGTTGAATTGTGGAAATTGTTGCACATTTGGTTGTCTAGCGGCACACTGAATCACGTGAAATATGAGATGATGTGGTTTATTTTATTTCATTTTGTTCATTAAGTATTTTGTTATATGCCTATATGAGCTTGTCCAAGTCATATATATGGCTTATTTGATGAAATTGTGTTTGAATAAATGTGTATGACAATGGAGCGGGAGTCCCCGACACGGATATCGCGATATAACACAGATAGACATTAGGACAAGACTGATATAACACGAACACTATACTCTAACTCAACTCAAGATCGTGAGAGCAGCACACTCTTAAGATCCAATACATATTTAACTCTTTTACATCTTTTAGATGTGTAAGAGATTTGACAAAAATATATATAAAATGTGTTATAGCAAAGAAAAGAAACAACTTTTTAAAGACTTGAATTTGTGCAACAAGTTTGTGAATGTCGAATTGAAGTGTGGAAGTGGGACACAAATCTAAAGAACGTCGAGACAGAAAAAAACCATATTTTGAGGGACATTTATAAGACTTTTCCGACATTTATTATACTGATGTGATATCATGGCACGCCTGCTACATAGATGTATAGTTATGTTTTTACACAATTCAAATCACCTGTGCAATTTTACAGCGACTAGACAAAAGCTACAGCCTCTAAGTGTATAGTATTTGGTATAGGAATGACATTTTCACATTCCGAGGCATTTTTATGTGAAAAAATAGATGCTATACAGCGAAGCTTTTTTTGCGTTATCTTAACTTTTTAACACAATTTTCTGTAACTTATGATTTACGAAATAGAGGTTGTTCCTTCATTAAGGTTCTTGTTAGAAGACATGATAATATTGATATTCTTATATTACCTTATAGGAGTAGTCTCTTTTTTATAAGTATCTTAGACTAAATCGGGATATTACTTTTCATATTTATCTTGTTATTATCATAATTTGTTTCTCATGGTAGGATTTGAGTATTGTATTAACTTAGTACTTGGTTGTTATTAACTTCTTACATAAAAATGGTTGAGTTATTAAATAAATTGGCTGAATGTTGTGATTTAATGGTTATTTTGTCCATGAATTATATATATTACGTGTTAGGAAATATGGATCGAAAATGGATGTTTGCTAGTCGAGCGTCAAAAGAATACGAAGATGGGGTTCAAGAGTTTGTTAGGTTTGCTATTGCTCATGCCGAAGACACTAGTAAAATCATATGCCCTTGCTTAAAATGTTGTTATACGGATGTTAATGCAAATGTTTTGGAAGATCACTTAATATGTAATGGAATTGATAAAAGTTATACATGTTGGATAATGCACGGAGAAAAAAAAACCAAGTCAACAAAGAGGAGCAATGGGAGAGATAAATCAAATGATTTTGAACAAGATACAAATTATGAGTTTGATCTAGTTGAAGAATTTGTGAATGTAATTGAAGAAGATATTCGCGATTGTCCTCAAATGTTTGAGAGGCTAGTAAGTGATGCAGAGACTCCATTATACGAAGGATGTACTAAATTTACAAGATTGTCTGTGGTCTTAAAATTGTATAACTTAAAAGCACGCCATGGATGGTCTGATAGGAGTTTCACAGACTTTTTGACTCTGTTAAATGAGATTTTGCCTAAGAATAATGTGCTCCCTAGTCGAACCTATGAGGCTAAACGATTGTTATGTTCTATTGGAATGAGTTATGAGAAGATACATGCTTGTCCGAATGATTGCATGTTATTTCGCAACGAGTATGCATCATTAGATATGTGTCCTAAATGTAGTGCCCCACGATATAAGAAGAAAGAAACAACTCCAGCCAAAACGCTATGGTATTTTCCGATAATACCAAGATTTAGGCGCATGTATCGTAATGCGGAAGATGCAAAGAACTTAACATGGTATGCAAAAGAAAGGGTTGTTAATGGAATGCTCCGACATCCTGCAGATTCTCCTCAAAGGGCAAAAATTGATCATGATTACCCAAATTTTGGGCAGGAAGAAAGAAACCTACGTCTCGCATTGTCTACTGACGGAATAAACCCTCATGGTATTCAGAGTAGTAAACTTACTTCTTGGCCGGTGATTTTGTTGATTTATAACTTACCTCCATGGCTATGCATGAAGCGCAAGTACATGATGTTGACTATGTTAATTTCTGGGCCCAAGCAACCAGGAAATGATATAGACATATACTTGGCTCCATTAATTGAAGATTTAAAGCATATGTGGGAGGCAGGTGTAGAGGTATATGATGAGTATAAAAAGGAATCCTTTCAATTGAGGGTTATGTTATTTGGAACAATCAATGATTTTCCTGCATATGGGAATCTATCAGGCTACAGTGTCAAAGGAAAACTTGCATGCCCCGTATGTGAAGATAATACACATTCAATACGGTTGGATCATTGTATGAAAAATGTATTTCTTGGACATCGTAGATTCTTAAATACCAACCATCGTTTTCGAAAATGGGGAAAAGCATTTAATGGTGAATCTGAAGAAAAAAGAGCTCCCGTGCCTTTGATGGGTGATCAATTATACCAAAAGGTAAAGCTTTTGAGCACTAATTTTGGGAAGCCTTTTTCAAGTGAACTTGCCACGGGGGGATGGAAAAAAAAGTCAATTTTCTTTGAATTGCCGTATTGGAAGTCATTGTATGTTAGACATTTCCTGGATGTGATGCATATTGAAAAAAATGTTTTAGAAAGTGTCGTTTGTACATTACTCAATCTTCCAGGAAAGTCTAAGGATGGCCTTAAGGCAAGGTTAGACCTGCAAAGTATGGGATTAAGAAATGAATTGGGGCCGGTTAAGAGGGAGGGTAAGCGTACATTTCTACCTCCAGCAGCTCATACTCTGTCAAGAAAAGAGAAAAAGATCTTGTGTAAGGTTCTTCATAATGTTAAAGTTCCAGAGGGCTACTCATCAAACATTAAGAGTTTGGTATCTTTGAAAGATCTCAAATTGAAGGGTTTAAAGTCTCCTGATTGTCATGTTTTAATGGAGAACTTTCTTCCGGTAGCTATATGTTCCATTTTACCAGAAAATGTGCGATGGACCATAACTAAACTTTGTTTTTTCTTCAAAGCTATTTGTAGCAAAGTTATTGAGATGTATTTTCCACCTTCATTTTTTGACATAATGGTTCATCTCACCGTCCATCTTATCATGGAAATACAATATTGTGGACCAGCTTATATGAGGTGGATGTACCCGATTGAGCGTTACATGAAGATAATAAAAGGGTACGTGAAGAATCGAAGTTGACCAGAGGGTTGCATTGTTGAACGATATTTAGTTGAAGAAGCTATTGAGTTTTGTAATGAATACCTCTCTAATGTTGAGTCCATAGGGCTTCCAATGTCACGACACTCTGGAAAAACAATAGGGGAAGGGATTGGTGCAAGTAAACTAGTCACCATGTCAGACATCGAATTGGAGCAAGCACACTTGTATGTACTACACAATGCGGATGAGGTTGAGCCATATGTTGAAAAGCACAAGGAAATCCTTCAAAGTTTGAATCCTAACAGGAGTGAAAATTGGTTAATAAGAGAGCACAATAAAAGTTTTATATCGTGGCTAAAAGAACACATTTTTTCAGAATTTGCCAAAAATCCTGCTTCAATTTCCGAAAGATTGAGATGGCTAGCAAATGGTCCAAATTCACATGTTCTCTCGTACTCTGGTTATATAATTAATAAGTATACATTTTATACGAAAGAACATGATCATCAAAGCACTATGCAAAATAGCGGTGTCACACTCGTAGCTGAATCTGTGCATATCTCAAGTTCCAAAGATAGAAATCCCGCATTTTCCAAATTGTCATATTTTGGGGTCATTGAACGTATTTGGGAGTTGGATTACTCATGCTTTCAAGTGCCTGTGTTTGGTTGCAAGTGGGTTGACAACAACAATGGCCTTCAAGTTGACCTTGGGTTCATGAAGGTCGATCTTAATAAAGTGGGGTATAAAGACGAGCCTTTTATTTTGGCATCACAAGCTCACCAAGTATTCTATGTCACTGATCATGCCGATGAAAAATGGTCTATTGTGTTTCTAAGTAACAAAATAAATGATCAAAAAACTCAAAGTATAGATGTTGAGGATGATCCTTTCTTTAATACATCACAATCCCTTGAGGATGAACTAATTGTAGATGATATTCTTTATATGAGAAACGATCACAATGATGGGATTTGGATCAACCCATCATTTGTTGTATCAAGAAAACACAAAAGTAGGAATCCAATTACAAAGAAGAGGAAAAGGCCGACTTGAAAATTTGTGGAATCACTTGAAAATTGTCTTTAATGTGAGTGAATAAAAATGTTGTTTAAGAATGATATAATACTAGCTCTTACTGTATAAAATTGTCTTTAATTGTGTTTTATGTTTGTCTGAATTTGCATTAGTAACCGCAACCACAAATATAATACTAACTCTTACACTTTTTACAGGTTAAATATGGTTTCTACTAACGATGAAGGTGGTCCGTCTAGTACGAAAACAGTTGGTAAACATGGTGTGACTCGGTTGCAAAAAATTCACAAAGCCAAAAGCAATGGAAAGAGGATTGAGGTAAAATAGCTAGATGATGATTATTGAGATTGATGAGACCTCTGATTGTCTTAGAATATTAGTGAGTTTGATGATTATTTAATTGCACTCTAATTTTGTTATAGGTTCAATGGAATGCAAGAGGTCAACCAATCAAGCATAATAGCAAGAGTTTTTCTAGTTATATTGGTGTCACGGTTCGTCGGTTAGTTCCAATTAGTTTGGACAATTGGAGTGCGAAAGAAAATAAAGAGGCTGTAGGGGTTTATAAACAAAACATTTGGGATGAAATTGAAGTAACACACTAACTCAAGCTTGTTGTAAAATTTTAATTCCATAATTTATCTATTTGGATGTTTAAGTAACCTGAACAGTGTTTTAATAAATTGAGTTGTTTGCAGAAAGCTTTTGTAATTGGCGAAGAACATCGTGCATATATATATATATATATATATATATATATATATATATATATATATATATATATATATATATATATATATATATATATATATATATATATATATATATATATATATATATATATATATATATATATATATATATATATATATATATATATATATATATATATATATATATATATATATATATATATATATATATATATATATATATATATATATATATATATATATATATATATATATAAAGCTGGAAGGTTGCACAGGGCATTCAGGACAAAGTTGGCAAAGTTCTATCTAAGAGATAGTAAGGGTGCTTTTATTAAACATCGACCGGAAAAATATTCTTATTGTATAAAACAAGAGGATTGGGATAAATTTGTAGCTCAGCGTCAGAATGAAAAATTTCAGGTAATAACTTGTCATTATTTATCTCTCCTCTTATGCCTATGTAATAGCCTCCGATACTGTACCGTCCGTAACGGATACTAGAGGGACAAACTGAATTAGATACCTTGTAAAATATTTCATATATGCCTCATTTTGTTAACCTTATTTTGTTGTTGGGTTGAAGATGAACACTAATTAAATACATGATTGGTATTCCGCATAATTATACATTTGAGCATCATCTAAAATAAGTTAGTTCACCACGAAGTAGTGTGATTTAGACCTTGATAGAATCATACTTTTCACCCAATATACCGCCCTTCTGTTTTTGAAATTGAATGTACCTCAGTATGCTAGCAAAGAAAGCATTTGAACCTGGAAGAACCGATGCAGAGTCGCTTTGCATCTCAGTCTTGATTAATTCTATAAGCCCCTGAATAGTAGCACTAGTGATCTGTGGATTTCCTTTCTCAAAATAGTATATGTACCTGGAACATAACTATCCGTCAGTAAAAAAAGCCATGAAAATAGTACACCAAACAGTTAATAGCTGAGGGTGACTGACTTATTCAGTATTTCAACAAAAAGCGTAACTGGGCCGCTGCTACCCCTGGCTACACTGGCCACTTGTATGTACTACATCAATGATGCAGTGACATTACATTTGATAAATAATGCAATAATGTGATATGGATGCAATTGTGGGAAAGCAATATCAAAAGAGGAAGACCTCTAATTCTGCTGTTGACTAGAATTAATTCTGTTGAGTAGGATTTAATTGTTTATTTATTTAATTTTTATAAGTTAGCATAACAGAATTTTTAAATTTGAATTTAAGTAATTTTAAGTAAATTTAAATGATAGTAATTATAGTGCTTTTAATGCAGAAAGTTAGTAGTGAAAATCGAGAAAGAGCGTTAAATCCTCAACATCCCTATAGAAAGTCACGTTTAGGGTGTGCTCGTCTTGAAGCTGATATGGTAAGTATGTGTATAAAAGTAGTGTACAAGATTATAAATTATTTTTTTAATTGCTATGTTAATTTGTCAAAATGTATATACAGGTAGAAGAGTCGGGAGAAGATGAGATAAATCGCAGTCAAGTGTGGAAGGTTGCCCGCGTCAATAAGAATGGGGTGATTGATAATGAGAATGTTCAAAGAGTTGTGGATCAATGTGTAAGGCGAATGTTAATATTTTGGATCATTGAAAATATTTTGGATCTCGGTTAATTTTAATGAAAGTGTTCAAATTGATTTTCCTTTAACAAGTCTTTTATACTTATCGATGTCAGGAGAAATTAACAGAAGCTATAACTGAAGAAGAGAGACAAGACCTTGGTCCTACGGACATATTATTCGAGGCTCTAAATCTCCCAAACTACTATGGGCGTATTAGGAGTTACGGTTTTGGGGTATGTTCTAGGGACATATTTCCACGCCAAATTCGCCCCACACAAATGGACTTTCAAAGATTGTATGGCTTTTGCAACACACTCAAAAGTAGATTGGAGGTGCTAGAGAGAGAGAAGCTGGAGAGAGATAAGTTGGATAGAGAGAAGATAGAGAGGCAAAAAACCAAAGAAGTGGCCGAGAAAGAACAACCTGAACAAGTGTCAAACAGCTTGCAACAGCCTGAAAAAGGGGCACAGGGCTTGCAACAACTTGAAGATATGGCGGAGAGGCAACAACCTGAACAAGTTTCAAAGAGCTTGCAACAGCCTGAAAAAGGGACACAGAGGCAAGAGTTAAGTGATAAAGGTTCTTGCAACCCTGGATCATTCGATAATATTCCCGAGGTAATTCAAAGCAGTTCATATATGTTTGTTTTGTAAATAATGATATTAATGTTTTTATTCGTATCTCATTGGTTTAGGGTCTCTGTTTTTATTCAGAGCTATTTTGAACAAATAACCCAACCAACCAATTTTGAACAAACAGGAAAACTAACAAAATTCCAAAATCTAACACTGAAACAAAACCCTCAAATTATCAGTCAGCCTTGGAAACGGTAGCGGCAGCCTTCCATCTAAGTTCCCCAATTCAGCAATAAGCCCAACTTTCTGTCCAGGACAAGCATCACGTCTAACGGCATTAGCATATCCGATATGGTGGTGATTATCTCCTCCGTGGGGACGTCCAATACGCGTGTTGTTGCTGTTAATGACGGAGGGAGATAGCGGATTTGTTGTATGTATTGAGGATGGCATGTGATGAAGCTTGATTGAGAGGTTGGATTGTGGCCATAATGATGGAAGTTCACGTTGGTTTTTGTGTGGAAAGGAAAGTGTAATGGAGTTGTTTTTTTTGTTTCTACAGTGTGTCGTGAGAGAGGATAATGGAAGAGAGTGTATCTTATGAAGGCATTGTAGAAGGTTGATGGGAATATGGTTGAAGTTGTCGTTGTCTATTACGTAGGAAAAACAAAAAGTGAAACATGCTCTTAAACACACATACTCACATGACACTCGATATACTCACAAACATCACTCACTTCCACTGCACATGTTAACATAACCATGCTATACTACTTAAACTGGGATCTACTGGAAGAAGATAAATGCAATTACAATATATCTAATTGGTATCAGAACATATGGGCCAAGATGGATATGAAAAACCATGATTTCAGAAGAAAATCTTTTGACAATAGAAAAATGATCTTTGTGTCGGTACAGTCAGTGTCGGTACAGTCAAAGCAGTTCATATATGTTTGTTTTGTAAATAATGATATTAATGTTTTTATTCGTATCTCATTGCAGGGTCTCCTTCCTGTTAATATATATTTATCATCCCCGAGTCGGTGTTTGGTTGCTCGTGGCGAACTATATAACACCAAAGGTAACACAGTGCACGACATGACGTTACCACCTGGATATGTCAAGGTTAAT